CAGGGCTGTTGCCGGTCTCAATCCCGGATAATGGAGGAGGGCTGGATATGGGGTTACCGACCCCACCTCATAGAAAACTAACTCGCTATAAAAACGCTAAACAGAAAAATATTCTGTAGATTATCTAAAGATAATATGACTAGAAACTGACATTCTTTTGAATAGAAACGAAAAGGATTTCAAACAATAACAACAAAAAACAATGTTACGAAAAGAGACCGAGTTTATTTTATTATGGTGTAAAGAAAAGTTGAATACTTATGAGAATTGAGTAGACTGCATAAATGTTGAATAATTTCATTGAACCCTTTTATTTTTTTATTATCCTTGTCTATTTCCATTCATTTTCCTATATATTCTTATTCATTATTTCTATAGTATTTTAATGTGTATTGACGTGGATAAATGTCAGCTTTTACACACATATGTTCGTTTCTATCTGTTGATCTCCATTGAATATCAATGTAATTAAAATGTAATTAGATAATATTCAGTAGACTTACATGAGTGTTGTACATTCATGATCAACAGCAAATTAAAGTGGATGGAATGTAGATAGTATAGAAATTTTGGATTGATCAACTCGATGTACCTGAATCGGATTGTTTATATTTACACTGGAACTTGAACCTACATCATATCGTTTCAATACGAGCGTCAAGATAGTCCTACTATAGAGAGCTGAAACTTGGAGAACTACTACAACCATCATCAGAAAATTACAAGTATTTATAAACAGTTGTCTGCGCAAGATATTCAATGTCCGTTGACCGGATACCATCAGTAGCAGCCTACTATGGGAGAAAACAAACCAGCCTCCATCTGAAGAGGAAATTAAGAAGAGACGTTGGAGGTGGACAGGACATACATTTTGGAAATCATCCAACTGCACCACGAAGCGATCCCTAACTTGGAATCTTGATGGGAAACGGAAAAGAGGAAGACCCAGGAACACACTGCGCCAATGATTGGAAGCAGATATCAAAAGGATTAATAGTAACTGAAAAGAACTGGAAATGACTGTCCAGTAGAGAGTTGGATGGAGAATGCTGATGGGCGGCCTATGCTCCTCCATGAGGAGTAACAGGCGTAAGTAAGTAAGTAAGTAAGAAAGATCACGTAGAGATGGACAGTGATTTTATTCACCGTTATTTCATATATTGCTATTCACAGCTAACTAAAAATTACCGAAATTCAGTATAATTAGTCTTTAATATTTCATATCAATATTCTTATTTGACTTTCATAAAAATAGGCTAATTATGGACATAAAGTAATGCTGAACATTTAATACAATGTGTAATATATATATATATATATATATATATATATATATATATATATATATATATATAACTTTCACAACTGTTTTGTTTTGTATTCCTAATAGATGGATGAATATATTAACCTACATGAAACGTCACGTCATCACTATAGCATAGTTATCTATCTTTTTAATAAACAAAAGCTTTTATCACCAAGTTGATGAAAAATAGTTCATTATTTTATATGTGATCATACAAATTAAGCAAATCTTTACTACTGGTATAAAAAAAAACTAGTTTTGTGCGCGATCTCGTGCATTGGTTGAAGTCAGACATTAACACCATTGGATGTCAGCTCAATGGTCTGCAGGTTAAGCGTTCACGCGCGAGACTGACAGGTCCTGGGTTCGAATCCCGCGAGCAGGAGTGTGGATGCGCATTACTGAGGGGTCTCATACTAGGACAAAACGGCCATCCAGTGCTTTCAGGTTATCCATGGTGGTCTGGCTTCAATTGATTCATGAATTCAACTGTTAATTTTGTTTTGTTATTAAGCTGTAACTACTATCAGGTGCATTGATTAATTGTAATTAGAAATTGTTAAGGAGAGAACCATACATTTCTAATTTTAGAGAAATTTTAGTTTCTTTTTTAAAATATTGTTTAAAGTACTAATAATGTTAGACAAAGTTGTTCCATGAAATCATAATTTTTCTAGCTATGTGTTTAATTAAATTATTGTCAAAAGCTTTATGTAACGTATTTGAAACTCAGATATTGTGAACTTAAACATGTATTCTTGGAAGATATTAATCCACTTCTAATTGATTGATTGATTTCGTTGGTCAGTTATGTACTGTTAGATATTAGAGTGATAATCCGAAGATATGATTTATTTGAAAAATTATAACTTACATTATAGGCTGTATTCGTCGCAGATTGATCTCATTTGAGATACAATCGAAAATCAGAGAGCACTGGACAGCTATTCCGTCCTAGTATAGGACTCCTGTGTAGTATGTACTTGCGACCCTGACAAAGATCAAACCTAAGACATTCATGTTTTATGTCGAATGTTTAACCATTCAAATTTCTGTGTTTACAACGAATTGAACACTATCAACTTCAATCAGTTTATCGTATAGCTCTACAACCAATCTAAAAAAAACCTTTCAACTAAAAATATTAACGTCGGCTCGATGCGTAGGAAAAATCAGGGAGCATTTAATTATTTATCTGATTTTAATTTGAAATTATGTATCATCGACTATTAGTAATTATATCTATATAAGTTTGCATAAGAAAATTTAGATACTGGGAAGAAGTGTAAATACCATTAAAGTAACAAATAGAAGGGAATTAATTATTTATATTTCCGCCTGGAGCCCCTCTGAGGCTACTGCCGGTTCCAAGCCCGGGTAAAAGAGAAGGGTTGGGTATGAGGTTAGCGACCCCATCCCATAGAAAACTAATCTTCTAAAATAAAACGCTAACCAGAAGAGTTATGACATCTCATGGTGAAAGCCGAATTCCTTCGGTAGTCACGAGACTGATGCCCCTTCTGACAACCAGAGCAACCACTAATTTAGGTACATGGAGTGCTCGTACAATCTGGGAGACTGAGAGAGTCTTCCAAATTGTTGTTACAGTAATTTTCAAATTCATTCTTTATTTGATATTTATTGATGAAACCATGAAAATTTTGCATCCAGATAATTTTATTGTGGTATAAAAATGCCTAAGAGATGTTGACAAATTGTTTATTTGTTTAAACTAAAAATCATGTAAGTTTTTTTGTAAAAAAAGATTTGCTTGAGCTGAATCATTTCGTTAGACGGTATAAATGAAAGCCCAGGACAGAGTGGGTTGGAGAATGCTGGTCGGCGGCCTATGCTCCATTAGGAGTAACAGGTGTAAGTAAGTAAGTACGTAAGTATAAATGAAACCATGTTTAACATAAAATGGTTGGAGGTAGTCAATAGGAAACCCTGATAAAACGTATTTACAATCGTAGGGGAATTGGTTAATTGTAACCAATCCACAACAAAACAGTACACACGATATTGAATCAATTAAATTATAATAGTTACATTCTGACTTAATAAATAAAATCCAATTAGCACTAAAGTTTAGACAAACACGACATTGGTAATTATTCAATAACTAGTCAATGTGCTATGAACAAAAATTTCAACATATTATTCACGAAACATTAAAGAGGGAGAATGTATTTGTAAAATCTCAGCGAATGGATTTGAAGTAAATTCAACATTTCCCCTGGCAACTCGGCGCACAAATACTGTGAAATTATTCGATCAAATTTAGATGAAAGTTCTTATTTATTATTCATGAATATTAAACTCACAGAGGCATTAAATGTTGAGCTACATTTTATTACACAGTTTGAATGCATAAGGGATTGAAACTTAGTAATTAGGCAAACTTTTATTAACTAGGCTTTCAGTTACATAGAATATTTCAACAACTAGATAGAATTGTATTCAAATCCGTAACTCCATTGAATTACAGTTTTACTTGTTTAGTCAAAGAAAAGAACACACAAGCGAATTGCAATTAAAAGCACCTTTGAAACATTTAAATTTAATGTAGGTAGGATTCAGAGATTTGTAAATGAAATATAGTTTGCTAAAATGAGACCAGTCAACAATCATTCTGATAGTTATCAACATTTTCAATCCGAAATATGAAGTTACTGAATATTTTTACATTAAATTCACTTGCTATTGATGTTTAGGACTGCAATTGATCAGTCTATTATTAGCATAGGTACATCCTGTGAAGATTGCCTCGACATAGCCACGGACATTGTCACAAATATTATAAACAAAGTGGTTATCAGGATTCAGTAGCTAAGTGGATAATATGATAACGTTTGAAGTGAATGGCTATGGTATCGAGTCTAGGAGTGAAAATCAACTCTGAGATGCATGTACATTCAGTTGATGAGTCCCAAATAAGACGAAATGCACGTCCAGGATTCCATTGCTATGCACTATCCATCTTTGCTCATAGGTTTATATTAATTTCAAGAGTTCTATTATCATTTCTAACGAGAGCATTTTGTTTGAAATAGTCTAGAATTAAAAAACTTCATCAATGAATAAACTAACATTTAAATTTCAGTAGTTGAGATCATGAGTCAATTGAAGCTAAACCACCATGGAAAACCTGGAAGCACTGGACGGCCGTTTCTTCATATCATGGGACTCGTCAGCAGTGTGTATCCACGATCCCACCTCGCAAGGTTCGAACCCAGGACCTAACAGTCTCGCGCGCGCAAGCGCTTAACAACTAGGCCACTGAGCCGGCATTCAATAGTTTTAATCTCTAACTTCAACTAATCCCTGAAATTGAGCGACATATTTAGCTTGAATTGACTCATGATCTCAACTACTGATGTTACTATAATACATTACGTAAGTCATCAAACTGCATCATGAGGCAGGTCCTAACTTGGAATCCTGAAGGGAAACGGAAAAGAGGAAGGTCAAAGAACACATTACGTCGGTAAATAGAATCAGATATGAAAAGGATGAATAACAACTGGAAGGAGCTGGAAAGGATTGGGTACGACAGGGTTGGATGGAGAATGCTGGTGAGCGGCCTATGCTCCTTCGCGAGGAGTAATAGGCATAAGTAAGTAAAAAGTACATTTGTATTAAAGACTTATGTAACATCATTACACCTACCAACTAAACATATTGAATATTTGATTTAATTCATTCCATTACTATCAATTACTAAGAGTGAACTTATTAACTTACTAAGTTTTTGTAAATGATTTAAAACATCTATTTTTTCCATTGTTTTATCTAATCTAAAATGTAATGAATCCAACATAGAATTATTTCTTCTTCGATATAATTCATTTACATTATTGTTATCATCATCATTGTTTTCATGTATCATTTCATTCTTTTTCATAGATGAAAGAATATACTCTTTATTGATAGAATTGTTCAAAGATGATATACATGTTGATGATGATAACAATAATGATGATAATGGTAATGTAGTTTGTTGTTTTTGTTGTTGTATATAATCCATTGAAATGGATTCATTCTTTAAATGATTATTTAATTCATCATTAATAAGTTGTTTGACATTTCTTTGAAATTCATAACATTCTATTGGATTACCTGTTTGTTCTAAAATATTCCGATTATTATTATCAGTTGTATTACTGTTGTTGTTATGCTTATTAGATTCTGATAAAGAATCATGAAATCGAGGATATTTTGTTGTACAACATATTTCTTCATTGAATTCGATATTATTTTTATCACATATAGTAACAGTAGTAGTATTCGGTGAATAACAAAGTCTATATGGAAGACTAGAATTGAGAGATATTGATTTATTATAATCATTAAATTGATTATCCAATTGATTCTTTTTAGACAAACAATGATTGATAATGCTAGAAGCTTGTTTATTATTTTCAGTAGAGTTAATAATCTCATCAATTGTAGTAGTAGTAGTAGTAGTAGTAGTAGTAGTAGTAGTAGTAGTGGTAGTAGTAGTATTAGTAGTACTGGTCGAACTAATTGTAGTACAAATTTTAGGTTTAATATCTCCATTACCAATAGTATTAACATTATCATTATTAATATTCAATTTTTCTTGTTCAATTGATTGTTGATTATTTTCAAGAATATTTCTATCATATTCAGATATAGTATGTAAAGTAGTATTGAATTCCGGTAAATTTAAACAAAATTGTGAAAGATTAGTATTATTCTCTGAAGTATCAAATGTATAATGTCTAGATTGATGTTGTAATTGTTGTTGTAATTGGGATATCATAATTAGGTTAGTTTAATAGTAGAAAAATAAATAAACTCAAAGTGATAAGATACAAGAGAAAATCAATTTGGGGGGATAACAAACAGTGTGTATGTATATTTATTATATATATAGATATATCAATAGACACTATAAGCAAGCTCTTTGATCCTCTCATGAATCAAATAGTATTATTCCAATATCTTGTCTTATTTACTTTTATTCAATATTTGACCTGATATAATCAACGGCAAAATATGTAGAGTAGTGATAAGAAGAAGAAGAACTAAACACAATCAATTAGCTATTCTCATTCAATTTAATTTAATTCCATGGTGACATTATTTTTAAAAAAGAAGACAAGAAAAACAAAGTGGGAAAACATGAAAAAGGAAAAGAGTTCAATTGATAGTGGCTAAGTATTTAATCAAATATTCCTGGTAATTTGGTTTAATGTATATAAATAAATTAACATGGACATATAATCAATGTGACTTTTAAATATTCATCATAACCAAATTATCTTTTTTTGGATATTTTTGTTGTTGTTGTTGTTATGTAATCAGTAAAAATTAGGTTATGGATGTTGATAACTAGAGGCAATCTGTTTACTATCGTTTTATGGGTTACTATTATTATTATTATTATAGAAAATGGAATTATTCAATGACCAATACAAATAAAGAAATATATATATATTGACATATCGAACAATGAATAAAGAACAACGGTTAATATGATCAAATGATTTTTGTATAATGAAATTTGTCAGTCATTTTTCTGTTAGATAAACAACTATGGTACTGTTTAATTTTGTTCATCTGTTCTTTTTACATTAACCCACCCTAAATCCTTCGTTTAGTTTCTCCCTTCTTTTTATAATCTCTCTCTTTCTCTTTTCTTTTTTTGTATCCACCTACATACTTAATTTTCATTTCAATCTTCATTCATTCTTTTCCTTTGTATATATTTCGTTATGTAAGTCATTTAATCTATCATCTATCCAGTAATATTCAAAGGTCGAGCGTATATACAACATCAAAGTAATATACTATCATTAGTTTTATTTTGTTAACATATTACATTCCCTAAAATATTAATTTAACTAGACATATGTCCCTAAAGATTTGAGATAGTGTTTCTATTTGAAGTAAGTAGTGTATTTTCATCTTGGAAAAAATCAATATAAACATTTCTAACTCTTATATCAATTTGATTGGTACTTAAAGTAAATTCATTTTGTTTTTATTTTATGCCCTTTAGGTAACATTATCTTCATTGGTTATTAAAGTTTGGAAGAGAAAAATTTGAAGTACATCAATACAAAATATATGTGAGAATAATATGACGGTAAAATAATTTATATGTATAGGGGAAATTTTTTCCTAACCAATCACTAGTTTACGAAAATTTTCTAACAATTTGTATTAATTATAAGCAAAGATGGATGGTGAATAGAAGTGGAATATAGGATGAGCGTTTCGTACTATTTCGGACTCGTCAACTGGATGTATATGAATCTCAGAGTTGATATTCACTCCTAGACTCGATACCATAGTCATTCACTTCAAACGTTATCGTGTTATCCACTTAGCTACTGAATCCTGATAACCACTTTGTTTATAATACTTGTGACAATGCCTGTGGCAATGTCGAGGCAATCTTTACAGGATGTACCTATGCTAATAATAGACTGATCGATTGCAGCCATAAACATCAATCGGAAGATTCAAGCAAACGATACCAAGTGAATTTATTCGTATTAGTGTTGGAGGGTATAGAAAAGGAGAACTCAGATTATTTAAGTATATTTTAGTCAGTGGCTCATCATTTGAGCTACCTACATACTGTAATCGAACATTCAAGTTTCATGGTAAAAAATGACTGTTTAATAGTTAGTGTTTACCAACTTTAGTTAATTTGTTGTTTGATATGGTGATTCGCTAGTCTATTACTATCTAAGTGAGCAATATAAGGTAGTCATAAATGACTGATTTTATGAACCGGTTTTGATCTGGTTATGATAAAATCTACTCACTTTGTCTCTCTAATACAGTATGTCAGAAGTGGGAGATAAAGTTTACTTGGATACATAATAAATCTTGGAGAGTAGTTTCGTCCAAGACACTGCAGCAGTAAGCGTTTGCGATCTTGGGACAGATCAAGTTCAGAAGCTCCAGGTCTCGTGGTGTGTACCTGACAATCATACTTCTAGGTTAGAACCTAATAGTTCACGTTTCTTATTTCAGTCAGTCCATAGTATAGTGCGACGATTATCCAGTGGTACTGGTGATGAGTGGTTAACTGCTAAAAAATATCTGAACTGCACTGAACATAATCTGACTAAGGGCTCACTGTGAAATCGGAAGATCCTCGGTCAGGGTCATGACAGGGTTATGGTTTATAATGATAAAGAGTCCAATTATAGGACGTAAGGGAAGTTTAGTACTCCCTAACTTTTAAAGAAATTTTCACTGCGCTTAGTGTGTGACGTATACCACTAACAAAATTGAACAGGTCTCTACAAAATTCCTCAGACTGACTTTTATTTATTTATTGGGCTAATTTATTAATGATTTCGAAGAAACTCATGTCTTGAATGAGTAGTTGCAAATGTAACTTTACATTTTACCTTCCAATCAATCATATTTCTAGGTATTTGTTTACGTTGTAGTGAGTCTTTCTCGTTTGATAGAGATATTGTATGTGTCGTTCTTTTAATCTATCAGAGTGATTATTACACTCCATTGTAGGCTAATTAAAAACATTTTAGCAGTCAAAACAAGATAATTTCATAGTTATATCAAATACATTTTTATTATCGTTCGTATTCAAGATCGAAATGATTACTTTGTTGATTTGCGGGGTTTTTGATGATGCATTCACTTAGAACTTTATAACATTTTGAACAGTGACTGTTGATGACACATATTCTGTTTTATCTTGCACTAGTCATCTGATATTTACCAGTGAATTTGAATCGGTACCTATCACTTTGCAAGGACATATTAAGAATATAGACGATAACATATTGATATGTTTGTGACTACTATCATTCATTAGGACTAGTAGGTAAAACTAGCAATTGGAGTAATTAAATGGAGTGATAGGCATTTTCAGTAGTTAATAAATCTGGCTTATTATTTATCTTGAATAAAAATATAGTTACATTTACTGTGTGTATATGAATTTTAGTTATCGGTTATCAAACTGGCAATAGTCAACAAATTTCGGTCTTATAATTATACTACTTTGAGTAGTATCATTTTATGTCTCAAAATTTCCCACTGAAATAAATTTTAATACACGATAAGTCACCAATAATGTTTATACTTATACTGGAAGAAAAAATTATCCAGTACTCTATGCGAAATTCTTTGAATGTGGATTGTTTCTACTCTATTGTTTTTCAAAAAGTCATTTGTATTCAATTCCAAATACATAAGCAAAACTGTACAATATTCTTAAATATTTCTGCTTAGTTATATTTTAACTTGGAATAATATCAAACTAAAATCATATACAATATTTGTTTGGATAATATCTCACGGCGAGACTATAATTTGTGGACGGACCAATCACATATAAAATAACAGGTCTTGAATTTTGGCGCGAAATTCACTACTACATTTGAATAAATAGAGTTTTGGCATTATAGCTGGTGTCAGTTCGTAATGAAAATCGTAAATATAATTCCAAACCCTAACCATCAACTTTAAGTCATAATTCTAATTCCTCACACAGATTTATAACCTTCATTTGATCCTGACTATTAGGTGGACACTCTCTAGGTCACTTCAGCGTCACTCAAAGGTCGTTCATAAATTATAGTCTCACATATCTCACTTCTACATAACCACTAATTTTGATATATTTCATCATTTTAAAGCGACTTATGTTTCCTTTAGGTTGAAGAATATTTATTCACAAAATTTTCATTTGCCTTCCCTCATACGGAGTAGCTTCAGTAAAATCATTAAAAATATACATAAAATGTATCATTCACTGAGATCAAATAATTGCTTAGAATAACTTTTTCGAAACGTGACCATTACTAGTAGAGATGGTCAAATTATACCTGAGATGGGTAGACCGATAAATTTTATGAGATCATTTAGAAACATGTAGAGAAACATTCAGAAGAGAGATAATTCTAAATTATTTTAGCAAAATATAGTACTTTGCATTAGAATATTAGAGAATGGAGATTGAAATGAAAATCAGCATACTGTTTAAGAAACTTAATCACACATTATCCCGGACGTTAGGTGCATAACAGTTTCTTATTGAAATATTCTTAACAACATTATCGACAGACTTTATCTGTGAAGAATGAATTTCTATAATGCCTAAGAATTTATAAAGCTTTTGTATTACAGTTTAACTTTCTGGCTACTTAACTCACTCTCAGCACTGAAGCCTTATGACAAACCGTTGCCTTAATCTACTTGCAACTTTTAAACAAAAAAACCTTTATATGTAGAATAGAGGAAATCTTGAATTATAGTGATATAGTATAAAAAGATATACTTAAAACAGAGAAACCTTATTTATGGATAAAATATTGTTATTTTATTAACTTAACACTTCTAGTTCCTTATATGAGTATAGTGATGTTTTCAAACAAATTTATTAGAGGGATTTAGATTGATAAGTTGAAGTTTGGCGCATAACATATTAGTATTGAAATTTTACTTAAAAATTTGTTGTACAAATTGAAGTAAAGAAAAGTTTTGTGAATGGTTTTATACTACTAACACATTTGTAAGTAGGTTAAATTAAATAGTATCTTTTATGATCACAAAAGTTTTGTTTTTAGCATCTACGGTTTTGCAACTTAAAAATAAATGAATATATCATGAAGTTGAATTTAAGTAAATAGCTAAAATGTTGAAATTACATCGATTATCTGATCAATGTGACTTCATTAGAGTAAAATGGATTGCTTTTGAAAAAAATATATTCATTGGGTCTAAACATATGTTAATGGCTAGATTATGAATCTCTTCAATTGTGGCAGG